TTTTAAGTTTTAAACATTTGGTTGTATTTCATGTGGCTGTTAATTCTACTTAATAGTTTTTTTTTAAAAAAAAAAGATTTATTGATTATACATATTTGGGGGTTCAGTGTTGACATATGTTGATCAAATCAATATTACTAACATATATATTGTTATAAATCATACTTATTCTTTATGCCTCTTGTCCAATTTCTCCCTATCCCCCTTTCCTTCCCCCTCCCCCCTCTAATTAACATAGATTTCTTCTCTCCTTCTGAAAGAGTAATGGTTACTCTGTTGATTTGTTGCCTAGATGATCTGTCCAATGCTGAGAGGTGTGTTCAGGTCCCCCAATATTATCATAGAGCAGATGCTTCTTCTGTCACTCTGGAATGAGCTCTGTGGAAAGAGACATCCTCTTCTTTTCTTTGGTCTCTACTGGTGACTCTCCTTGTGTCAGTGCACTCCGGTGGCTGGCGGACCATCTGCATAGTGGTTGTGGTATCTAGCCACTTTTGCGCCAGCCATGGTTATTGTGGTGGCTGTGGTGGGCTACCCACACAGAGGTGATATCTTTGGCATACTCCTTACATAGTTGGTGGTGGCGATGGCAGTGTGCCTGGTTGTGGGAGGGGGTCCGGTCTTCGGATCCATGCCTCAGGATCCCACGCAGGCCCTGTGGTGCTGGTAGTGTGCCTGGTTGTCCCTCCTCTCTGGCTTGATAGCCCAGGGGACTCCTGGTCCTTCTAGGTGTTATAGGTGTTCTTTGGTGAAATGAGACCTTTTCTAGTTATTATCAAACTTTGGTTGTGGTTACTCTGTTTGTGGGTACTGTTTTTTCTTTCAGTTCTGTGTTGGATTATTTGCTGTTCCCACCACTTCAACTCTGTGCTGGAAGTAATTTGTTGTCCTTTGCTTACTTCTAAGGCAGGGGGAACTTATTGTGGGGACCAGCACTTAAACTCTTTGGTTGAGCTAAATTGCAGCTTTGCTGTTGATTCCCTAGGGAAGGCTTTTTGTGCAGCTCAGGTTTTAATGGTTGACTTTTATAGTACTTCTGGGTTCAGTGAAATCCAATGCACCTGGGTTGTATAGAAACATTGGTCTGGGCCTGAGGCTTTTCATCAAACAGCACCCCATGCAATTCTATATTCCTGACCAGTCTCCTCTGAGTGGTCCTATGCTGATTGGGGGGCAGATCAGCTGTCCTTGCTGTGCCCCAGTGTTCCCCTGGTAGGCCCATCTTCCCCACCACCCGTGCTGCAAACACTTCCCATGGGACAGGTTGTACACTGATCCCTTGTGATGACTCACCGGCCTCCGAGTGGCTCCTTTTTTGCAGTTGTTGTTGCTCTTCATTCCTATGTGGGTCCATAAGTACCCTATTAGTGGTCTTGCTGGCCCAGAGGCCACCAAGGCCCTCTTCTCTCCTGCCACCTCCAAGCAACTTCATCCGAAGGGCAAAGCTGCAGCTTTTGCCTGCTCCTGCTCTGTGTGCTCAGCAGCTCTAGCCTGGATTTGGCCAGGGCTCAAAATGGTCTGAGCAGTTTTTTCTTTCTGTTATCGTGGCTTCTCCTGCCTTCATACACTCCGTAGGTCTCTCCTCCTCTTCCCCTGAGCTCTAGTGGCCTCAGCTTGGTTGTTGTTGCTTTTTAATAGTTGTAAATTGGTTGATTTGTGGAAGAGAGTGATGCTGGGGACCGTCTATTCTTCCATCTTGACCGGAAGTGTCCTACTTAATAGTTCTAATGCCAGTTTAGCTATGGGGCAAATTTGGAACCATAAAGTATTTGAAAATCTTAGGTCTGTATCAAAGGAGGACCTATAACTAATGGATCAAGAAGACAAAAATTTTTGTTGTAATAACAGAAGTGCTGATGATTGATAACATTCATATATACCATCCTCTCATGACTTATTTTTTACAAGCTGAATGAGAGTTTTATCTATGAGATACTTTCTCCTCATCAGGTTTGACTCAACATAGTTCATAAATAAGGGAGCAGTGCCACAAAGAACCTAAGTCTGCAAATTACAGAATGGCTTCTCATATTTCTGAGATACATTCATTTGTTCTTTCCTGAAAATAATTTTTGTAATTGGATTTAATGTAGGCTAATTGTTAAAATTCATTTTTCTAACTACCAAGAAGCATTTTGGCAATGGAGGTCTATAGGATTGTAAGGCTTTGTTAGGAGTATTCCACAGGCTAGCCCATCTATATGTAGAAAACAAAAAACTATCCAATAAGATTTCATATGTCTAACTGTATGATCTTTTGTTTTTGTTTTTTGTTTGGTTTTTTTTTGCAGCTGGCAGATATGGGAAATGAACCCTGGTCTTTGGTGTTATCAGCACCAGAACTCTAACCAACTGAGCAAACCAGCCAGCCCGATCTTTATTAATCAAATATAACTGTCCACTTTTCTGAGCATATATTTGGGCCTTTGTTAAGTTAACTTTTGTCTACTAGATTATAGATTAGTATTTTCAAGTTTTCCTTTAAGTTTTTCTAATTTTACTGAGTATATTGGATCTTGAAAAGAGTTACCATATCTTATTTGCCCTCACTTCAGTTATTCTAAAATAAGGATGAAGTTTGTATTGGGATCCTGTTTACCTGGAAGTTTTATTTTTTTTTAAAACATGTGCATGCAGAATATGCTTTACAGGAAAGTATAGATGATTGAAAATAGCTTTTAAATGAGTTGGGCATGCTTCTTAGCTGTTTGAATCCTTTAAAAAGTAAAAGCAACACTAAAATGATTTGTAAGAGGTGCTGTGCCGATTAATTGATATTAAAACAAAATAAAAATAGAATCCATGAAAAGAAAATAAAGTAATATTTTGATGTTGCATATTTGACCAGTAACTATATATATATACATACATTTTTATATATTTTTTTTAATATATTTTTATATATATGTATGTATATATTTTGTTTTGGACAAGTGATAGATTGCAGAGTAATCAATTATTCTAAATCAAGCATAGTCAAGAAATATATTGTTATATTTTGTATTTGTTATTTGGAATAATTAGTTACTTTATTGTAGCACACATAAGGCAGCTAGATTGTTTTTGATCTCTATAGAAAAACGGATTTCATTTGTTAATAGAGTTGTTCTTGTTGTTTTAAAAGGCTAAGGTTTTTTATTTGCACATTATATCAAAGTTGGCTTATGAATGTAGAATAAGGCAAACTGTGCATCCGCTTCAGTTATTAAGAAATTACACATTTTGATTGCTCATATTGCTTTTTTTAAGTGAGGAAATGAAAACTGTCTTGAACCCCGAGTATCTGGAACACGATGCCTAGTAAGTACAAAAACTTTGTTATTTTTATTTTTTTATATCATTATTACTTAAATGAAGGTTAATAAACATAGCATTATATTATTTTTCTCGTTTTTAGTGCAATGTTCTCACAACTTATGGAAACTGCTGAACCTTGGTTTTCTACTTTTGAGCATGACGGTCAAAAGGTAAATCTTGTAATACAGATCTTTTTGGTGTATTTGAGGGAACAAATGATTTTAGTAAGTAACAACATATAATCAGAGAATAATATATAGCCATTATTATTGCATTATATGATATATAGCTATTATTGCTGTAACAAAAATGAAAATATGAAAATACCTATGGAATAAGTTTCAATCTGTATCTCTAATAATAGTGTCAGATATACAAAGGCAATATAAAGATTTATGTGAATAAATAGAAACTTTCCTTTATATGTGTGCATATGTTATTCACGTAGTATAACTGCTTATTTATAAAATTGTTATGAACTTTCTATTGCTATTCTAGTGAGTTGATATACACATTGTTACTGAAGTGCATAGATAAAATATATATCAGGTAGATTGTTTTGCTTTTACTAATGCACCACTATTGAATTCACACATTGAGTATCAATACCCCTTACCCTTACTTTCTCTTATCTTTATTTTTAACTGGTTTTTGCCTTTTTATAATTAATATGCCATAACATTTACCTTTTTAAATTATACATGTTAGTGGTTTTTAGCATAATCACAGGGTTATGCGAACATCTTCACTATCTAATTCCAGGACATTTTTATCACCCCAGAAGGAAATCCCATACCCACTAACAGTCACTCCCCATTCCCCCTTCCCACAGCTCCTGACAGTTCTAATCTATTTTCTGTCTCTATGGACTTCCTGATTCTAGACATTTCATATAAATGGAATCATACCGTATATGCCTATTTCTAACTGACTCCTTTTACTTAGCATAATGTTTTTAATGTTCATCTATGTTGTAGTATGTAACAGTATTTCATTCCTTTTTATGGTTGAATAATATTCTATTATAAAGATATAGCACATTTTATTATTTCATACATCAGTTGATGAACAGTTGGGTTCTTTTTACTTTTAGCTATTGTGAATAATGTAATGAACATTCATGTACAAACTTTTGTATGAACATAAGTTTTTAATTCTCTTTACAAATAGGAGTTGAATTGCTGAAATTAACTGTAATTTTAGACTGACTTACACGCTATCTTAGAGATCATTCTGGTCTCTTTATTATATTACATGATATTGGAAAAATACAGATTCTTCTGGTGATGGATATTGTCGAGAATGTTTAGTATGTTATTTCTAATATGGTTAGTCTTTTTATACTAGTATAATTTCTGGAAATCTGGTTAGAAACCATATATTACCAAGTCACTTCATTTCGTCTCTTAAAATATAAAATGGATAACTAATGCTTTTCATACCTTTGGGCTAGGCTGGGGATTGGCAACCTACTGCCTGCAGGCTAAATTTGGCCTGCCATCTGTTTTTGTACATCTTATGAATTAAGAATATTTTTTTACATTTTTAAATGGTTAGAAAACTACCTAAAGGAGAATAACTTTTTCGTGGCATGGGAAAATTATATAAATATCAAATTTTCATGATCATAAATAAAGTTTTATTGGAACACAGCCATGCTTATTTGTTTACTTATTGTCTGTGATTGCTTGGTTATTACAATGGCAGAGTTGAATAGCTGCAACGCAGACTGCCTGACCTATAAAGTCTAAAATATTTACTTTCTGGCTCTTCACAGGGAAAGTTTGCTGACTCTTACCCTAGGTGATAAAGTGTTCTTCACATATCAACATTTTACATTCTGTAAGGGTTGCTGAAGGTGAAACCTGCTTATAAGCATATTTAAGAAACTATTCAGTATTTTAGAATGATAACTTTATGCTCTTGGCCAGTGACTGATGAAATCATAGACATATGAACATCAAAATTTTGAGCTGAGAATATTAGAACATATTTAAATGCTAACATCATGATCATTTCATGTAGTGGTCGTTTTGTATTTTATAACTGAGAGTATCTGAGAAACTGAATGATTCAAATGTGAGGGTTACTAATTCTCAGTTTTACCTATTGGTTTGTGTTGATATTATTGATACACATTCATGAAAGCCAAAACTACATAAAGATATTCATTTTATCAAGGAACACAGTCACGGTGACTTTTGAACGTTAATTACTTGAATATATGAATAAATAATATATTCCTAAAAAGCATGTCTAGTGAATATTTTTTCATTCTCCTTTTTATTCTGTTTCATGACTCTATTACCTTTTTTTAAGAAGTTCTAGAGTATGTTCAGTTCTTCTAGTTCCTTTGAAAATTCAACTATTACTGTGCCTGCTGCCTAGTTTAACATACATTTTTCTTCATAGTAAGACTTTCTTAATGAAGGAAGCCGTCGTGTGTTGGTTTACGTTATGGCGCAAAATCGTTATCTTGCTAATTTCCTCTAACGGTTTGGACTGACACTGATCTATAGACCACACTTAAAGTACCACTTAATGAATGGTTAGAAAGATTTTCAAGGTTAATTGATATATGTAGCTGTCTCATTTCATCATATATGTTAAATGCAAATAGCATTCTTTTTTATGATAAGAAATCCTGAAGATAAGGGAATATTTTATGTTAATTTTATCTTTCCTTCTGATTTAACTATTTTACAAGCTATGCTATTTTGCATTTCAGTGATCATGAACATTACTTTTGAGTTTCTTAAATTTATGAGGTTTTGTTATAAGTATTCTGTGCATAGGGAAAATCTTTCCAAAGTAGTTCATATAAATGTGTAGTTCTTAGACTACACATGAGTCTCTATCAAGAATTTGATAAATGGACTACATATGCTATTGATTTAATGACAATGCATTCTTTTCAACATAGAAATTGATCATACAATTTAATCAAGTTAAACATTTTTTAAGCAGGTCTATTTAAGATAAGTTCTCTTCAAAGATAGTGATTGTATTCTATAGAAGTATGTGTATTCAAGACCCTTCAAAGATGAGTAGATATAACGATCAGTTATTCATGTGATTGTTAGAAACTTTACCTGGGCTCAATTCTTCTACCCCACAATGACTAGTATTCAGCCACACAAGGTTCTCCACTGAAGCAAAACCACATGAGTAAGATGCAGAAAATGTTAGATTGGTCACTTTTTAAGGAAAGTGGCTTCAAAGTAAACAATATATTTTGAATGTGAGTGGTATATTGCAATTAACATGAATTTTAAAAATATCTAAAGTTAATATCATCTAATCTATGTTAATATCATTTAAATCTAAAGTTAAATATGAAAAATTTTAACAGGTTAATTTTTTAAAATTAAAGCATTTAATCATTTGAAGAGAACCTAGATATTACAAAATCAGAAAGATGTGTCTTGGCTTTAATATTTTTAAATAAATGACTGCAGTATAGAGGCTTCCTTTTCTCATGTCTATAAAAATACACAAACTAATTGAGCCTGAAAAAGTAACATGTTTTTCTATCCTTTGGGTATAAAGATACTAGAAATCATACTGTAGGAAGTACAAAGGAGTGAATTTCTTTTTAAGACCTAAAATGATTCAGGAAAGACAGATCTTCCAGAAAGTTTTCCCTTATACTTCCAGGAAGTTTCCCCTTATATTAATACATTCTCCTCCTCTCCTCTGATCTTTCTACCAGATGATTACTAGCTGGTCTTATGTGGAATTCTATTTTTTTTTTTTTTTCTGTGTAGTCTACAGACTATGAGGGCAAGAGCTTTTCCTTCTTTATCTTTGTGTCCTCAAATCTGGTCCAGTGATGTAAAGATGATATTCCTTTAGAGATCTCACAGTGTAGGAAGGGAGAGAAGTAGCAAAGGAGACTGTGGTAGCAGAGAGGAAGATAAAGAAATAGGGCCTAGTCATTGAGCGCAATCTTTAAAGATACTGGGGAACTCCTCAGTGGAATTACCGGAGAGAGGATGTTTTAGGTAAAAGAATGGCATCCTCAGGATCTCTGGAAGCACAGGGAGAGTAGAAGCTGGCCAGGTAATGAAAGGGCTTGTAGACCTGGCTACGGAATTTGGATTTTTTACCCTGAGTAAAACTGATAGGGAGCTAATAAAAAGGCTTAAAGAGGGCAGTTTGGCATAATCTAATTACTGTTTTAGATAGATCACCTTGCATTTTGGAAGATGGATTTTAAAAAAGTCTAAATTAGAGGCAGTGAGAGCAGTGAGAAGGAAAGAAATGATTAGGGCCTCAAATCAGGTTTTGACAATAGGACCGTAGAAGAGGAGACAGACAAAAGTGGTACTGAGGAGCTAAATTGGCAGAGTAGGTGTTGTGATTGGAGGATGGCCTGAGGCGAGCATGGTGGAAGGAAGAACATGCTTTTGAGCAGAAGATGATAAGCTCAGTTGTAGGCCTGCTGAATTAGAGACACTTGTGGCAATCCAGGATTCCTTGCCAGCATTTGAGTTTATGGGAGGCACTGGAGAGTTCTATGTTATGAATACAGATTAAGAAGTTTACAAAATGGGTATTGGTTGAAGCATCATGTATGATTGAGATAACACAGGTAAGTAGAAAATAAAACTAAGATCAGAATTGTATGGAGAAGCAAAATTTGAGAAGCAGAAAGAATTTGAACTAGAGAAGTAGACTAGAGAATTAGTGGTAGACAGAAAAATCGCAAGAGTGTGATGCTGTTAATGCCGGTATTGGAGAGAGGTAAAAATGGAGGACTGAGCATCAGAAGAAAGGTCAGACATAATTTGTTAGAAGAAATTATCAGACTTGAGGGGGTAGTTGAAATTTACAAGAAATCATTACAAAGAGTTAGTGATATCTGAGTATGGGATAATAGATGGCAGGAAGGGAAGTTGTATTTGGCCCAAAATGGATTTTATTTTTTAAGTCAGCTATACTTTTGGTCTGGAGAGTTTTAAAATCTTTTTACTCAGCCATTTAAATTGACAAAGGGACAATTAGAGAACATCTTCTTTTCCAGAACTAGTTTCCTTTACTTCCTGACTTTTTTTTTTAATAGTTTTGAGAATTCAAAATAAAACAGTTTTCATTTACTGCTTTTTACTATTTCAGTTTTAGGACACAAGAAATGGTTTTTATCAAGGTATTCATTTATATACCCTGGATGATGAGATAAACTGGCCATGGGCAAATAAACTGTAGTGACCACCACTACCTTTAGTCAAAATTATCTTGTAAAACTTAATGTCACAAGAGAAACTGGTCAAGGGAATACAGGTGAAAAATATTTTATAAGGCATTTCCTGACCATTGCTTTATGAGCACAATCATCTTTATGATGATCAACATATGAGTCCACATTTTAAGCATTTGTCATGAGCTGATTAAAGTAGTTTTTGGTTCCTGTTTAAACTCCCATTGATAAATGGAACTTTAAATTAAAGAATGATGTCCATACATTTGTTAAGTTCATATTGGAATAATACATATTCTGTTCTTCCTGTTTTTAGGGGAAAGAAACACTGATGACCCCCATTCCCTTTGCTAGACCACAGGATTTAGGACCAACAATTGCTATTGTTACTAAAGTCAACCAGATCCAAGATCATCTACTGAAGAAGCATGATATTGAACTTTACATGCATTTGAACAGACTAGAAATTGCACCACAAATATATGGATTGTAAGTATTAAAGTTTAAGTTCAACTACACTTAATGATTATTTATGGTAGTCTCTACATGTCTCAGATCCCTAGAAGTAAGAGCAAGAACTGCTCCAGCTCCATTTTGTTTCACATGTCTTTTGTGGTTTTATGTGTCAGGCTCTATGCTCATTACTTTCACTTATGGTATCTCATCTAATACTCCTACCAGTGCTGATAATCGAATGTTATCCCTTTGTTACAGATGTAAAAGCTACGGCTTAGACTGAGTTTACACCTATTAAACAGTTAAGTCATAATTCAGACCCAAGCAGTACTGGCAATATAATTTGCAGAATCCGGTGCAAAAGAAAAATGCAGGGCCACTTTTGGGGGGAAAAAAAAATAGTAAGAATTTCAAGATGGCAACACCAGATCATTAAAGCAAGCATTCTAAGAAGTGCAGGGTCATACAGGTCATACGCACATGAAGCTAGCCCCAAACCCGAGGATTTTATTACCCATTTCACTTATTAATTTGGTTTTATTATTATTGTTTGTGGGCCAAAAGTAATTTACAGTATGTTTTCCATTAACTTCATGAAAGATTGCTCCTGTTGCACTTAGAGTTAAGTTTCTCTTGCTTTGATTCAAATAATTAGCATATTGAGTTGTCTTTTGTTTGACAATTATTGTTTGGTATTGGACTTTTTTTAAAAAATTAAGTTGAGTAAGAACTTATCACAGCATACTGACCAATTTCCAAAGTAAAATGTTGACTACATTATTTTCTACTTTTCAAGGTAATGACTAATAGTTGTTCTTCTGGTATTTTCATTTTTAGTATGAGAATAAGAATGTCCTGTGATTTCATCACTTTGGGATTATATTTGTGCAAAAGTATCTAAAATATTTGTGTTACAATTCTATCACTGTTCAGCTACAATGTTGTGAGTCCAAAAGACTCTTGATCACAGCAGATTTATGTAAAGATTCAGTAGTATTTTTATTTACTACTACTACAACATTCTTTCATAGAAACTGAAGTTAAAATTAACAATTTTTGCTAGCCAGAATAACTGTTTTGTTATCAACCTTGAAATATATTGAATCTGTAAATTTTTGACTACATTTTGCACTGTGGTATAAATAGAGTACATAATAAGCATCTGTGGGATATGCAATAAATGTCACTTTTGAGGAAAGACCCTCATAACACACTTGGGCTTTGGCAGTCTTAAATTATGAGTTCTTTACAACACTCATGGGATAAATTCCATATCCCCTAAATGCTTATTATACATCTTCCACATCTATTTTCTATTTTCTGGATTAGAAGTTCTTTTGCTATGTGGTTTATAGCAATTTAATTGAGGAGATTGTTGAGTATTGATAAATAATCTGCTAAATGTTGCAGTATAATTTTGAAATATTTATACCACAGTATATCAGTTCTAACACATATCACAGTGTAATTATGTATGAGTATTAAGTTTTTTAAAACCTATATTCGAAGTATAAACATATGGTTAAAAAAAAAAGTAACTCAGTCATCAGAAGTCATAATTATCCACCTTAAAAATTGTATCTCTCAACAGTTAAATATACAGCTTCCTAAACACAGTTAATGATTGAGTTATTCCTCCCCCAGTAGATCTGCTCATCACCACTTTTCTTCCAAACTTCCAGAAAGAGGAGTCTTCTCCTATTTCCATTTTTCATTGATTCACTGTCACTGTGGAGTCAGTGTAAATTATCTGAATAGCAGCAATTAGAAGGAAGAGATTGGGAAAGTGGAAACATGACCCAACTATATGCTGTTTGCTAGAAACTCACTTCAAAGATAATGAAATGCATAGATTAAAGAATGGAAAAAGATATATCAAGCAAACATTAATCAGATGAAAACAGGAATAGCTATATTAATATTGAAGTAGACTTTAGAACAAAGAGAATTACCAGAGACAGAAAGGAACACTACATAATGATAAAAAGGTCAATCCACCAAGAGTACTAAGTTAAAGGGAAATAAAAAAAATAGCAGTCCTAAGTAGTTATGTACTAAAAATAGATCTGCAAAGTATGTGAACCAAAAACTGATAGAATTGAAAGGAGAAACAGACAAATCCACATTTATGGTTTGGAGACTATCAACTGGTAAAACAAATAGAAAATCAGACAAAGATGAAGAACTCAACAACACTATCAACCAACAGAATCTGATTGACATTTATAAAACACTTCATCTGACAATAGTGTAATATATATTCCTTTCAAGCACTCACAGAACATTTACCAAGATAGACCATATCCTGGGCCATGAAACAAACCTCAATAAATTTAAAATAATTAATAGCATACAGACTATGTTCTCTGACCACAAAGGAATCAAACTAGAAATAACAGAAAGGTAACAGAAAAGTCTTTAAACACGTAGAAACTAAACAACACACTTCTAAAATAATTCCTGAATCAAAGATGGTGTCTCAAGGGAAATAAAAAAAAGTACACCGAACTGAATGAAATGAAACTATAGCATACCAAAATCTGTGGGACATGGCTAAAGCAGTGTTGAGAGGTAAACTGATAGTGTTAAATGTCCACATGAGAAAAGAGGAAAAGTCAAAACACTCGTCTGAGCTTCCACCTCAAGAACCAAGAAAAGGAGAGCAAAATAAACTCAAAGCAAGCAGAAGAAAGGAAATAATAAATATGAGTTTAAACTAATTAATTGAAAATAATAATAGAGAAAGTCAATGAAACAAAAAGCTGTTTCTTTGAAAAGAGCAATTAGAGTAAAAAAAAAGAGATCAATTAAATTGACAGATACTAGTAAGACTGTTTTCTTCTACAAGTTTTATAGTTTCAGGTCTTACATTTAAGTCTTTAATCCATTTTGAGTTGATTTTGGTATATGGCAAGAGATAGGGGTCTCGTATCAATTTTCCTTTTTGAAGGGTTATGTGGAAGTACATCGCTTAATTTACACATATTTAGGGGTTGTCCAGATATCTTTTTGTTATTTATTACTAGTTTAATTCCATTATGGTCCAAGAGCATACTTTATATGATTTCTTTTTTTTCTTTGCTAAAGCTTATTTTTTAGCCCTAAGTATGGTCTGTCTTGATGAATATTTCATGTGTACATGAGAAGTATGTTTATTCTGCTGATGTTGAGTGAAATGTTCTATTAATGTCAGGTCAATTTGGTTGATCATGTTGTTCAGATCTTACATATTTTTGCTGTTTTCTGTCGACTTCTTCTATTAATTAGTGAGGAAGCAGTCTCCAGCTACAATTGTAAATTTCTCTACTTCTGAATCCAAAACTACTTTAAAATGACCAGATATCTACATCTAGGATTAAGAGTTAACCACCTAGTATTCTAACGCAATATAAAGAGTACAATTTTCTTTTAATTTATGATAGGCAACTCTGTCCCCCCCCCCCCCCCCACTTTAGACACACAGGGAATATCATTCCTATCATGTGTACAGTTATGTAGAGACTTGACTGTGAAACTTTTAAGTATAATGGGCTTATGAGCTTTGAAAAACCAGTGATTTCCATTATGATCTTGGAATGCTGTAGCTAAAGGAGTATAACATATATTTGAAAATGCGATGTTTAACATAGACCAGGATGTCTCTTTGCTTATTCCTAAAATTGTGCCCATAATTTGAAATTTCTTCCAATTAAATGGCTTTTTCCACTGGTGCTTTGGAACCTAGTAAATATATTAGACTAATGACAACAACCAAAAAAAGTGCTGACATATTCATTTAATATGTTTGAATAGATTTAAATGCTTCTACGATATCCAGCTTCTAATAAGAACTATTAACAATGAGCTTTAAAATACTTTCAAAATATATAGCATATAAAAAAATTTGAATTTTTAGCTATGCAACTAAGACCTCATTTTTTAAAAAATTGTATTAATTTATTAAAATAGTCCATTATTTCTAAAACTTTCTGTAAATATGTGATTAAATTAACAGTTTTAAATTTTATATTTCTGAATAAGAATCAAGATAGTTGAAACACAAAAATGTGCTAGGTTACTGAGAAATACTGATGAACTAAAAACTGAGAGGCCAAAATAGTTCATGGTAGAACATACCCCTCGCCACAAAACCATTCCAGGTATATATACAAAGATGCTAAAAATTCTTTCTTTCAGTGTGTGTATCTTAAACATTACAACACTTTGCTAATGCCAGTCTTAAAATCACTAAGCAGACCTAGGCCAACTTCAGGTTATATCAACATTCTCTAAAGGAAGCCTGATAAAACTGTGACTTCACAATTATGATAAATTTAACTGAATATAGGTGTAACAAATATTACTCCAAAACTTTACAGACATAAAATACCATCTAGTAAGGGTCGGACAGACCTAGGCCAACTTCAGGTTATATCAACATTCTCTAAAGGAAGCCTGATAAAACTGTGATTTCACAATTGTGATAAATTTAACTGAATATAGGTGTAACAAATATTACTCCAAAACTTTACAGACATAAAATACCATCTAGTAAGGGTCGGAAAAAAATAAAACTTCACTAGAAATACGTAAGGCAGAGTTGTTTTTAAATCACAGTGGGGCAAAGGAATGCCTTCTTTAAGCTGTGTGGTTTAATAACTTTAAAACCAACATTGTCTTTGAGTCTGTTAGCTAACAGAATATGCTTAGATTGGAAGGCAAGTAATTTCTATCCTCAGATCAAAACTGTAGGTTCTAAAGCTTGAAGGAGAATTTTTCAGGACTTATTAGGAAATAGTAATTAGTTAATCACTATTTAGTATTCAGTTTCTCTCCCTCATTCCTCATCCTTGGCTTCTTTATTTCACGGGTCCATTTTTCTACTCTTCAGCTCTTTCCATAACCAAGTAAGCCAGAGGCAAATTGAATAGCTATAGCTAATTGCCCTAATAAGCTCTTTCCTACAGCCATATGGTAATTCATGTATGATACCATACTCCAATACTAAGTATACTTTGTAATTAACCTAACCGGTATCATTTATACTAATGATT